TTTCCATTGCACTGGCTGTTCAAGTTTCCTGACAACAGAAGGAAGCAAAGGCAGTTCTCTGTGTCATGGGGTGCTCTGCGTCTCTGGAGCAGCAAAGGTGACATGTTCGTCATCTTTTATACATACGTCGTTCAGCCTAGCTCCACAGAACCATGAAAATGAGAAATTTGATTATTTTTAAGGTTAGTCTTCTCGAAGACCGAAGCAACTTGTCTGAGGTTCTGCTAGCGCCCAAGGGGACATGACTATAAATGCTTCACACTGCATTAAAGCCCCTGTCCTCACACTGCAGTCAGTACACGTCCCTGTCCTCACACTGCAGTCAGTACACGTCCCTGTCCTCACACTGCAGTACACGTCCCTGTCCTCACACTGCAGTACACGTCCCTGTCCTCACACTGCAGTTCACGTCCCTGTCCTCACACTGCAGTATACGTCCCTGTTCTCACACTGCAGTCAGTATACGTCCCTGTCCTCACACTGCAGTACACATCCCTGTCCTCACACTGCAGTACACGTCCCTGTCCTCACACTGCAGTCAGTACACGTCCCTGTTCTCACACTGCAGTACACGTCCCTGTCTTCACACTGCAGTACATGTCCCTGTCCTCACACTGCAGTACACGTCCCTCCTCAACCTCAGCCCCCTCCACTCAGTCTAGATATCATGGTCAGTTCACTAGAGCTTGAACAGATTGATTCACAAGTTTAAATAAAAAGGAAGCGGTCTCTGATTGGCTCCTTCTGGGAAATCTGATGGAAATGAAGGCGGCAGCGTGGGGTGAACCACATCTCCATGGGCAGCTACTAACATTTATACAGACTCAGTTTACCTTTGAGCATTAAGGTGAAAAGAGATGAGATTAAGAGGCTAAAATTATATATGAACTGTGCTTTTTATTCTTGAATTCTGGTAGCACGAGGAAATTGGAAGCTATAGATTTATGTTCACATATACTCACATAATTAACATTATTAATTTATAAAGCTGTATGTCAGAACGCAGCCCAAGAGTGGAGTCCTGCAAGGGAATTCTGCGTGCTTGCGAGAAAATTCCAAGAAAACAAGACCAGTCTTGTGACTTCAGTTTCTTCAAAACACAGAATTTTTCTTGAACTGTATCTTCGTGCTCCTCCCTGATATAATGGACAGGAGTGAGTTTCCTTCAGGTGTTGCCTTGCATGTGCTTCTATAGAAAAATATGTTTTGTCACATGTGGCTTGTATTTGTGATCGGACACTTACTCAGGTGACTCTTCTTAACCCTTGGTAGAAACAGTCTAATGCTCCAAATAAAGATGGCAATTGCTTGAGACTTTAGTCTACCTTGCTTTTAGATCCCAGCCTCCCAGGTTTATACCACCATCCACAGGAGAAAACAGCTCTATACGTTTTCTACTTTAGACACAGAGAGTATTTTCCATTTTCCTGGTGGGATATAAATGCCTAACTGAGTGTGATTTTCAAGGAACTTTCATCCCCAGTAAAAGATTTGGTGAAAGATTTGGGTAAAAGATCGGTGAATAACACACACACATACAGACACAGACACACAGACATACACACACACACACACACACACACACACACAATATATAAGAGAATTGATGAATTTATATAGAGTCTCTCTCTCTCTCCCTCAGACTCCCTCATGTGTGTGTGTGTGTGTGTGTGTGTGTGTGTGTGTGTGTGTGTGTTTGTGTTTGGTGTGCATGTACTCACATTCACACATGTATGTGTATGTATGATAGGACCAGGGAGTAGAGAGGACTTTGGGAAATATCACAATAGATAGAAGGACTAGAAACTTTGAATGATTCAATAAAGTCTTGTTGAGAGCCATGGAAATGTGCTATTTTCTAAGACCCTGAAGAAGCTCATTTTCTCTCAGAATTTACCAGATGAACTTTCCAAAGACAGAGAATCACTTCTCATGTCCCACAGCAGGTTCATAATTGAAACCTAAGTCTCCTCTGTCCTCTAGTGGTCTTGAGATACCTTGCTCCAAATCACTCTTTTTAAAACAAGGCGCTCTCTCTCTCTCTCTCTCTCTCTCTCTCTCTCTCTCTCTCTCTCTCTTTCTCCTCTCTCTCTCTCTCTGCGATGTATACAGAGTTCTGCCAGCATGCATGTCTCCACATCAAAAGAGGGCACTAGATCTCATTACGGATGGTTGTGAGCCACCATGTGGTTGCCGGGAATTGAACTCAGGACCTCTGGAGGAGCAGTCAGTGCTCTTAAGTTCTGAGCCATCTCTCCAGCTCCCAAATCACTCATTTTTAATAGAATAATATTTGTTGTCATTTCTTAGCATCAATTCACTTATATCCTTGTGTATACTGTGATTTGGAATACTTTTAATATAATGTCAACATTATTTATTTTAGAGGTAAATCAAAGAATTAAGTGGAGTAAAATTTAAAAAATGCACTTTGAGTGATATGAAGTATTTAGGAGAGTGGATATAATTGAGAGGAACAAGTTATGAAGGATGATAGATATTAGACTTCATCACAAAACTAAAATGTTATCAATTATTTAGTTTTTAGATGTTTGTTGAAGTCAGTTTTTATATTTTAAAATAATTCATTATTTGATCATAAAATTATTTTCAAATTTGACTTTATAAGTTTGCTCAGTAATGTTTTTATAAAATTAATTTTACAGTATTTGTTTCTTCTGAGCATCATAGAGTTAGAAATTTCCCTGGTATATGGACAGGTGAAATGGCTCAGCAGAAAAAGGATCTTGCTGACAAGGTTGATGACTGAGCTCAGACTGTGACAAGGTGAACAGAAGGAAGGGACTCCTACAGGGTTTCCTTCCACTTCCTTGTGTGTTCAGTGTTTGCGGCACCCCACTAACTAACTGACTGACTGACTGACTGATTGACTAACCAACCAACCAACCAACCAACTAATCAACCAACCAACCAACCAACCAACCAACCAACCAACCAACTAACTGACTGACCGACTGACTGACTGACTGACTAACCAACCAACCAACCAACTAATCAACCAACCAACCAACCAACCAACTAACTAACTAATTGACTGACTGACTGACTAACTAGCTAACTAACTAACTAACTATAAGACAGAATGTATATAAAGCAAAACTCAGTGGATAGAAATGTAATTAAACTATAATATCAAAAATAATAAAAGTAATAAATAAGTTAAAAAAGTAAATTAAAAATTTCATGGTTTAAGTAAGTTGCAGAATTGATATTTCTATTTGTATAATACTTAAACAAACATTTCTGGGGCTTGGCTCAGTCATGAAAAGCGCTTGTTGCTTCTTCAGAGGACCTGGGTTACACATTACACACACGGTGTCTCACAGCGTGAGTGTCTACAGTTCAGTGGGCACCAGGCATGCACACGGCGCACATACCACATGCAGGAGAAACCCTCATACACAGAAGATGAAATAAACATACCTAAAAATAATCCGATTTCTTCGTGTTTCAAGAAAGTATACCTTTTAAAGCTTCACATTGTTGTCAAATTATTCCAAGCAAGGTTGACATCCAGAGAAGATATTTTTCAGGATATCATGAATCTCAACAGTAGTTACACCCCTGTCCCCCTCCCCTCCTTTCTCTGCCTCTTCCCCTTTGATACCAGTCACCCTTCCTTCCTACAGTTTCCCTTTAGCTGCTTTCATGTTCTGCGGGTTTTTTGTATGTGTGATTATATCTATAAAAAATCCATAAATCACAAATGAGAGAAAAGGTGATAGTTGTGTTTAAGCATCTGTTTTTTCTCTTCAATGTGAAAAATCTCCAGCTGCATCTATTTTCCAGGAAGGGATATGATTTATTCCATCTTTGTGACCGAATACAAAGCTATTGTGTATGTACACCGCATTTATTCATGTGTTAACCTCCTGGTAGATACCAAGGTTAACTCTTTAACTTAGTTATTTTGAATAGTGTTTCTATAAACATGGACCCCGTGATATGCTGACTTAGATCCCTTGAGTATGTATTAGGATGTGCTATAACTAGATTATGTGATAGTTTGACTTTTAGTTTTCCAGAACCTTCATACTGATTCTATAGTAGCCTAATTTACATCATCAAGAGCAATGCGCAAGCATTTCCTACTGTCCCGTGTTCTACTTAGCATTTGCTGCTTTTTGTTTTCTTGATGGGCTGCCATTCTGACTGTGGTAAGAGGAAACTCAACAAGATTTTTATTTGAATTTCTCTGATGACTAAAGGTGTTGAATACTTTTGTATGCTTATTGGTAGCATTATCAGGTGGGGATCAATTATTCTTTTTATTATTACAGTTATTGATTTATTAAGTTACTTTGGGTGTTTGTATTTTATATCATTTACGGTTTTTAAGTTTTATGTTTTATGGAGATAAATTCTACTAGATTTTTGTTCCTTTGTGATATATAGAAGGTTTTAAATCTCATGCAATCTCATTTGACGGTTCTTGATATAACCTCCTGGTTTGGGGTCCTTTTCGTTAGAAGTCCCTGCCTAGACCTGGGCCTTAACACTGCTCCTCATGGGCCTTCTGACAGATACATAGCTTCGGGTCTCACATTGTGGGTTTTGATGTAATTGAGTCAGTTTTCATACAAGATGTGAGAGAAATCTAGTTTCATTTGTCTTCATGTGAATATTATTTTCCTGTACCATTTGTTGAAGATTTTTTTCACCAATCTGTGTTTTTGGAATCTTTTTGATAATTCAGTAGGCTGTAGCTGCATGGCTTGAATCCTGTGTCCTCTATTCTATCCCCTGATCTTTTGAGTCTGTTTTCCATCATCCTCATGGCCCTCTTAAAATATTTTGTACCCTACGGTACTGAATATTTAAATAAAATGGAGGAAGTCGACAAGCAGTTAATAAACACCAAGTTGTTCTTACTCGTTAGATGCTGGCTTACCATCTGGTGATTCTGTCATTTTGCACAGACGAGTTTCTAGTGCCCTATGTAGATTCCGGCACAGTTCAACAACATAAATGTCACTCACCTTCTGGATCTGCCGCTCCCATTCCTGGCTGTTTCACAGGGTCTTGTCCATTCTGTCCCATCTTTCCTCTGTTTCAAAGAGAAAAAAAAATGACATCTTTGGTTATGATCCCCTTAATAAAATAAATAAAAATAAAAATTGGCTTGTAGCAATAAAATAACATTACATATTCAGAGTCAACTATGGATGATTTGAAAAGCAAATATGCAAGCAGTTAATTATGCTATGTCACATTAATTTTAGAATGGGGACTTCATTATTATTCCTAGTCAGTCTAAACATAATATCACAGAAATCAACACATCTTATTTATAAACTCATTTATAAAAATTGAACTCATGAAATTTTTAGATTCCCCCCATTTTAGAAAATCTTTCAACATACAAACAACTTAAAATTTCTCATGCTGAAAGACTACATAGTTCTTCAAAATTTGTATATATACACAACGGACAAATTCAGTCAAACATACCTGCATCCGTAAACATGTAAGCTTGCATTTAAGTTTTAATTCAAAAAGGAGCTATATCTTTATCATAACGAAGTGTTATAGGTTCTTTAGTGAGCAGACAAATAATTAACTAACACATGGAAATAATTTTGTAACTTAAATCGATATTTCCTAAATGATATAACAAGTGGTACATGAAAAAATTTCCGTCACTTATCACTAGGTAATAAATGAAAACAGCAGGGAGATATTACATTTCTCCAGTATGAACGTTTTGGCATGTCAAACAAATTCTGGCAAGAGTGCGGTGAGGAGACAAGGCTAACACACTATTTAGGGAATTTCAATCAGTACAGCCATTGTGGGGAATGGCAGGGACATTTATCAAAAATTAAATGTGAATTTCAGCAGCGTGTCACGGTCCATGCAGGAACTCATAACTCCTCAAAGTACTGACAGTAAAGACTACGTAGCCCTAAAAGAAATACCTGTTTCACCCACTTCAAGAAAGGTAGGAAGACTATGTGAGCCAGAAGACGTGGAGGAATACTATAAAATGCTATCTTCTGGATAAAATATGGTGTTTGCTGTCAAAATCTCATAGCAACTGTAAACATCTGGATGACTTGTACACATAAAACTGGAAACGTCGCTGGTGGGGTTAGGGAGGAGGTCAGTTGAGGAGAAGGGAAACAGCATATACGAGATGGTGAGAAGCTAATGGAGAGAGGAATATAATGATGTACTGTATACAAGCAGAAACTATAAAAATACAACACAACCAAAATCGTCTGTAGGACTGTGAGGTCACACGGTACTTTGACTTTTGACCTTTGTCAAGTGAGAAAGTCTTTACTTCAATGTTAATTGAGGGTTCTATGAAGTTTGGGCTCAGTGCCTGAGTAACTATAAATATTCAATATGTGTATAGAATTAACAATTAGATAATGCACTTACACTTGGTAACTGAATTTAACAAAAGTCTCTCTTAATTTTAGTTTCGGCATCAAAGCTTTGGTCAAGCCAACTGGATAAACACTTCACAGTCCTTTAAAAACTGTGATGGTAGATGGCTAGCTGGATTACAGGCCGTGGCTACTTCTTGTTGCTTCAGCCTGAGGAAAGGAGTGCCTTTCAATGTATTTAGATTCCATCACAACATGATAGACTAATACTCAAGCATGCGCTGGGTGTGGTGGTGCATGACTTTTGTCCTAGCACGAGGGGGCAGAGGCAGAGGCAGAGGCAGAGGCAGAGGCAGGCAGATCTTTGTGAGTTTGAGGTCATCCTGGTAAACATTGAGAGTTCCAGGACAGCCAAAGCTATAGTGAGACCCTGTCTTAAAATAACACCACCACCAACCAAACAGAACAAAACACACACACACACACACACACACACACACACACACACACACTCACCTTCAACATGCTAAATGGAAGCATGAACCAAAGAATGCCTTTATATGCAACCTTCTAGATAGTAATTCTGATACAGAAACATGTATTCACAGTTCTTTTTTCCACCAAATGCGTTTGATTTCCTGGATCCATTAAAGTTGTAACTACTCTTATTTCTTAAGAGTCTAATTACTTCTTTTTAAAAACCACTTAAAAAAATCCTCTTGTCATCCAATTCCAGAAAGGAATCTGAATTGCTTCTGTATGTGATTAAAAAAAAGAAACATGTAAATGTACATATTGTTCTATCTTCAGAATTACTATATTGCTCCTTTGCAACAATTTTAGGTCAAATATTTAAGCACAAAGTTCTCTTTAGTGGTTATGTGAGGACCACGTGCAGGCAGATTATTCAATTGCTAACATCTGTATTTATGTGTGGATGTATATATGTTGGTATGCATAAATTCATAAATACAGATGCTAGAAACTACATATCCGTGCAATCTAGATGCATGTGTGTACTGTCTCTATATGAATTCCTAGTCATGTTCAAGCAGCATATGAAACTTCATTTGCACTTGAAGACTGAGCCTGGGCGGGTGTACATTCTAGGAATTGCTCTACCACTGGGCTGTATTTCCTGAAGAGCGTCAGATTGTGTAATTGTTTCATTAAGACGATACTAGTTAGGTTTAATAAACTAATGCTCCTCTGTCTGTCACTGTTAGGGGAAGGAAAGTTTAGGGCTTAGCTGCAGTGTGTGTGCTGGGAGAACGAAGCAAAATGTATCGTGTTCCTGGGCAAAACCCAACAAAGGATGAGGATCGCGTCAGGACTGCCCATACAGGAGGTCAGAGTGTGGAAGAAATGCCTATCTCTGTGCTATGTCAAAGTTTATAAAAATTGTTACAGTTTTATTAGCCTTAATAATTAAAATTTGATCTGAGTGAACAATTTTATTTTTAATGATAATACCTGAAAACAGGTATTTCTTTTAGTGAAAACCGAGTTTCCTTTTTTTTTTTTTTAAAGAAAAAGCATCAAAATGTGAAGGCTGTTCACCCTGAAGAACACATGAAATCTCAGAGCACATGGGCCCAGTGAAGCTAAGTGACGTTCAGGGGGAATGCAGCTGTGTGAAGCAGCCAACTTTCCGAGTTCTCATCAAATCATCTCCACCTCAGAGCATTCAGATAGCAGACGCTGTACCTTGAATGCCCAAGCTACCAATCTATAGCCACTGAACACTTATTCCAGGTCCAACAAGAATTGCATGAGACACGAGACGCTGAAGAGAAGGAGCAAATACTATTTCTCACATAGGCCGTGTAGTGACTTGTCTCTGTGTCTGCATGGTAAAATGATTGTCTCTACACAATACTGAGAGATATTTGCTTAATGAGAAAGACACGAAATAAGAAAAAGAATTGGGGCTATAGTAATCTTTTCACCTCAGACATCGAGACAGACCCTGAAGAAGTAAGATGATTTATTCTCTGGAAGTTATAACTTTCACTAAATTCCGTAGTCTGAAAGGTCCAGACAGAACAGAAGGCTGTTAGACCCTTTGTTGTACAGCCTCCATAAATAGCTATGATATTCATAGAGCAGCGAGAAAGGCAATGAACTCATTTAAAATTCTGTTACTTCTTCCAGCGAGATTATCAGAAATGTAATATTAATGATATCAGATTCTTTTTAGGAATGATTTTCAACAAACAGAACTGATTAAGTACGACCGCTCCTATTTATCCCACAAACTAAATGTCTAAGATAAAGTCATATAAGAAAAAAATCTCTCAGATGAACTGGTAACAGAACAAGAATTTCTTTAGGTTGGAAAGCTGTAATGAAAGCCATAAACAGTGCATTATTCAGTGTAAAAAAAATCTGTTTTCCCTATTATTTTACCTTCTTAAGATAAATCAGTATCTAACTATTAGAATTACTGAAGGGATCAGATGGGATATTTCCATAATATTTTGTATGAAAATAATAAATTCCACTGCCCAGGAAGACTTCAGAGCTCTGGAGAAAATGAAGACCCATAACTGTCCTGATCAGAGCCGTTTCAGATGCTGTGCGTTACAGCAACTCCACGGTGCCCTGCAGCGCAAAACAAGAAGGGGCAACACAGACGTCCGTCCACAAGAACAGCTCTGTCCAACACGGCTCAGCCATAAAGGGTCATTTCTGTATATTGTTCACGTGTCACGAAATAGCCTCCCTTTAAACATGAAAAACGGCAAAAGCCACCATTCCAGGTTCTTACAAAACCACCTTTCAGGCTCTACGAGCTGCGGCCTACTTACAGCTCTGGATACCCTAGCAGGGCTTCCACGCCCACAAGATTAGTTCCTGGGAGGGAATAGAAAGGTCTGCCGGGTTAGATTTTGAAACTGGAGCTGACATAATCTATAAACCATCTAAATCCATTCTATCACAATCTGCTTTAGTTTTGTATATGCGTTGCAAAATTGCCGTCATGAGGCTTAACATATCATGAATGAGCTATATTCCCAGAGAACGAATGTTTCTGGAACAAATTTAGAAATCACAAAAACACTCCAAAACCTCCCATTCTCACTGCAGAAAGGTTTAGAGATGAAAAGGCTTTAACGATTACCCCAGTTTGCCATCTGTTTCAAAGATTCTATGAATTCTTCAAATGTGAAATCTCTCCTAATTAAAAAAAAAAAACCCAACCAATCTGTGTTAATGTCAAATATCAAAGTTGGTGTCTGGTCTTTCTGTGATGAGCGAGCCGCTCTGCACTCCAGGCTGGCCTAGCTCAGTTCCTATTCTAGCGGCTTTTATGGTAAACACAGACAGCACAGACAGAGTCAGTGTACTAGTTGTTTGTGTTTATCTTTAGAATTATCTGAGACAATCCAGCCGCCCCTGGATTCTTATGTAGACATCAGCAGTTTAGATGTCCAAGGACCGTGATTCAAAATTGGATAATTACCTTGTTTTCCTCCTGTGAAATGTTAAGAATGAATTACTCACGATGCTGTTAAAATTGTAGCTTTTGTATATTTTATAAAATAACCACTTACATCCTTGGGATAGGAAGTAGATTAGTTTCCCCTGCCGCAGAGCTGCTTCCTTCACTGTCCACGCTGTATCCACTGCCAACGCTGCTGCCCGAGGAGCCGGTGGACACGGAGCTCTCTGCAGGCCGGTGATTGGCGGGCTTTGCTGCATGACGTGGGGAGAGCCAACACCATAGTCAACAAGTGAAGTTCACTTTTATCGCCAAATGTCAAACTACACATGTGTTCAATATTCATAGAAAGGATCGGCAGAGACGAAATGTTCTCTCTTCAACCTGCCTCTCCCTTTCATTTCTTTAGCCAGTAATGCACACTGGCAATATAAAATTCATTCACTTTTTTTTTTTAATGTGTATGAGAAGATGGGAAAACACTACCGTCTTTAGACTTAGTTAAGTAGTATGTCATTCTTCCATTGTTTTTTGTTATTCATACAACATTGCAATAGTGTTATGGCAAGCAAGAGGTGGTTGGGAAATTTCCCAGAGAAATATTTTAACAGAATTAAAGAGATTAGGCAATTACTTTTCATGTTAATAGTCAATAACAAGATAGTCTCATTAGAAGGGAAAAGTGCACGACAGAACAGAAACTTTACAGGTGACTCTACTAACTATCCAGGTGCTACTGTTTTTAAATCGAAAGGTCTTTCTTTCCCGTAGGTATGTTGTCATTGATATGGGGACTTGTTTCAGAGTTCGCGAGCTTCAGTTATGGATATGAGTCCACAAACCATAGAAACATAAACAGAGCTGTGCTGTGTATTATGCTATTATGCAGCAGGCGCGCAGCACTGGCGTCTGGCAGAGCTCTAGACTGACAGGAGATGGGACGGGCTTGCATGCACAAGGAAGAAACAGAAAAAAGACTGCCTGCAGAAGTTATTTAGCAATTGCTTGAAGCTCGTGATAAGCATCCCTTGCCAGCCCGAGTGACCTTTCGTCTTCCTGGTCTGTGCTTACTCAGTAGACCCCGAAAGCTGAGCAGTTGTGTGTGGAAACAATGCCATCACAGTGATGACCTTAAAAGACGGAGAATAGGAGTGGCCAGAAACAAGGGCCCAGTGGTTTGCTCTCCTTCCTCTCGGGATATCAATTCCTAAGCTCCCACCTCTTCTTTCTTGGTATTAACAGTCTGTGGCTGTTTATTAATGTCTTTGAGCTTACCTGCTATCTGACAATGAATCGATCTGTTTCTAAGTCTATATGTGTCCTAAACTACAGGAACGTTTAGCATCCTTTTCTCAATACACACATCCCTGCTCCATCACTAGTCTCTTAGTTGAATGTGCTCATGCTACTGGGTGAAGGGTTGACAATCATTTCATATTGAGAGATCGATCTATATATTTATGAAGAAAATCTTTAAACATGATGATTCTTAGCCTGGAGGACTTCTAACCATTATAGTCAAATAAAATGAAAACTCAAAGAAATTGTACAGGAAACTGAGGGCAGCAGGCAAGGTAGCTATCAGGTCTTGTAAAGAATTTAACTTTTTCCACTACACCGCCTTGTTCCATTACAGCAATAAAATGTTCTCATAAGCTATCCAATAATTTCATATCTGTTCCAATGATTGTAGAATTCCTTCCTCAGAATAAGGGAACAAGAAAGAATTTTTTAACAAGTCAGTTATATAGATGATGCTTATAAAATGCAAACTGTTACTTAAAAGAAGGTCAGAGCGGTAGTCACCAACATAATACTAGTTACCTACATAGGTCTATATCTGCATAAAATAATAGTTCTAATATTTGCTAAATATTTATTCAGTTCAGTAGAAACTCAGATTGCATATCTAGTATTAAAGAAAAATATTTTAAAGTGCACAATTAAAACTATAAAGTTAACATGACAGGAATATTAAATTATTAATATGTATACACCAATTAAACTGCATAATCAACCAGTAATGATTCAGATTATTTCATTAATTCAGACAAATGAAAGTTATCATGCTTTGAATTGACATTAAATAATCCAACCCATTAGATTTTTAATACTGGATAGTATAACACTGAAAGAAAAACAATAATTTTATTAACCAGAAAGATAAAACCTCCTCAAATCAACCATATTTACTGTTTTAAAGGTAGTTAATAGAAAATAATTTAAATGATTTTTATCTAAAAGCAAGTACACTGCATATCAGAATTGCTACCTTATAGGAGACATCTCTATAGTAACTTCAATTTATTTATAAATGTCAACTTCAAGTATCATGGGCTTCATGTGTTTCCCTCTTTCTTTACATCAGAACAATTCCTAAATCTGGAGGATCCATATGCATGATCAATGTATCATTTATGAGAATGGTCACTTCCTAGTTGGAATGATATTTGTTATATTAATGCCACATTGCTGGGAATCCTTAGATATTTGGCCTCGAACAGTGATCAGCTAATATTTGATGAATGAACAAACAAATGAATATCAGTGTCAGTGATTTTTCCTAAACCAAACACCAAGAATGCCACAATGAATTACAGGCAGTATTTTGTTTTATCTATGGTGTATTTTAAAGAAATTATGCATATAACTTCTTAAAAGTAAACTGATATAGATCCCCCCCTTTCTCTCTGCCAAAGACACCTGTCGAAAGCAAATCTTTGTAGCTTATTAAAACAAGTAAGGACAATTTTTATCGCCTCAAATGTGGAAAAATATAATCAGTTGACTAGATTTTGAATTCCACTGCACTCAAAAAAGGGTTCAAGTCAAGGTATTTAAATGCTAATATTAAACACTGAAAGGCATAGATTTGTGTGCTAATATACTAAATACCGAAAGGCACAGATTTGTGTGTTAATATACTAAATACTGAAAGGCACAGATTTGTGTGCTAATATTCTAAATACTGAAAAGCACAGATTTGTGTGTTAATATACTAAATACTGAAAGGCACAGATTTGTGTAGCAAAAAGTTCATAAGATACCATGAATAGCATATGAATATTTACATTGGATGAAAGAAAATACTATACATAGTGATGTTGTGTGGTTGCAATCACATGCACAAATGCTAGGACTTGTTCAGTTCCTATCCTGGTATACAGGCAGGGAACTTTGAATTTGATTTCAGTCTAATATCTCTTTGTTTTCCTGCATTTTCAGTGAAATAACACAGAAACATTAAAAACTTGGTCTTCCATGAATTTGTGATTTTGGAATCACAAAATAGTCTACATTTGATTTCCTCCCAACTCTTTGAAGTCGAATTTCAGAATTCATATAATGCTGTACAAGGAGGTATGCATCTGTGTGCTGCATAGTAAAACGATCTTTTCACAAGAGAATTGAAGTTTTTCTAAAACGCCAACTTTTTTGGGGATCATTTTGAGATATCTACTTTCGTTTTGAAATGATGATCACAAAGGTTCCCACTGCAGGAAAGACTGAATAATGCACGCATTCTGGGAACACTTGCTGTTGTGCGCAGGGCAACATCTTAGAGGGCCAATTCCTTCTGGATACACAGTTATTGGGGAGGTATTCCAGGTAAATGTTTTACCTTCTTGGGGACAATGCAAACTGTTTAAAATTATTCTTTCCCTTGTCATTGCCTTTGGCTGTTTTATGTTACAGCCTGTCATGTTTTATTACTTCTTAGTGGCTAATCCTAATTAAATATGGTCCTGTCTCTGCACATCTGTCGTCCTTTAGTTGTCTTGGTTGGATGCCCTGCCCCCTCCAGGAGACGAGGCTATGCAACGCTATCACCCTAGCTACCACATGGTGGCAGCACTGTTCCCAGAGAGCTCACCAAATTGCGGCACACCCTGCGGCTGTGGAACCCTGGCCTTCAGGAGCTGGTTAAGACCTGAAAAGGTCACCTGCTCTTGAACCATCATTTCCCCGTAGGAAAAATAGTCTCTGTAAAGATTAATGACTTATTATATCTCACAGCTAGTGAGAGAATTTAAAGATGCCAATTTCCTTTTATATTACATTTAGTTGTCTCAAACAAACAAATAAAAACTTGAGGGCTTTGGCTACTTTAGAACTCAGTACTTAGTCTAAACTTAGCTTCGTTTTGTGGGACACTGTATCATTGGTCTTACAGCGGGGGCAGCAAAGACCTATGTTTCAGTCTTTCCGGAATAACTCCTGATCCTGGCAGCTCCCAGCCAGTTCCTGAATGACTTGATTTATTCAACACTAAATCTCCTCTTTATAGACATAGTCTGTAGGGCTTTAGGAATGTTAGATATTACAAGAGATGAATCGATTATTATTTTGTTTATTACAGTAGTTTGATAGAACAGAACTGTTTATCTTAAACTATGTGTTCTAAGACACACACACACACACACACACACACATACACACACGTACGCACGCACACACACAGTGCGTTTTAACTTTAAGGGCCTTTTCTTTCTTACTTTTCTGCTTCCCTGTCTCCCTCCCTTCCTCATTCCCTCTCTCCCTTCCCCAGTTCCTCCATTCCTCCCGCCCTCCCTTCCTTTCTTTAACCTCCCTTCCTCCCATGTTACTGCTGCTGTTAGTTTTTGAACTTACTCTCCTGAAGGGATTTTCAGTTTGTCTTTTTTTTTTTTTCTAAAATGCTCACTGCATATGGAATTGAAAATGGCAGCTTTTAAGTCTAAATCTGACTGGCTTTATTCAATCTGTTTCCCCTTCAACTTTGTCTGATCACATTTTTGGCTATTTCCCTTTACAGTTCAGGATGATTAATTTAAAGAGAGATGTTACATTTTATATTTTAGAAGGCAACTCTTGCGTAAGTTAACTTCAGTGTGTTTGTTTTCAAGTCTGGAAACATTTTTTTTTCCCACTTTCTAAAGTGGAAAGCAGCACAGAAGCCTTCCACACTGATGCTCGCAGGAGTATTATTTACACACCCCTTGTTTTCTCCACACTGATGCTTGCAGGAGTATTATTTACACACTCCTTGTTTTTGCAATGAAAATTATTGAAAATAAGTGTCTTTGACACCGAACTCAATCACTTGTAAATCTTGGAGTTGAGCAATTGAAGTAAGGATGTCTTTGAAACATCCTTAAATAACGAATTACTAGCTGACTATCTAGCCGTCATTCTCAGTATTTCCTATACAAATGACTGGCGTGTATTCATATCACTACGCAAACCATGATCCATGAAGTTCTGCTGCCCTTTT